GAGTTTACCAACTAAGCTAGTGTCATTTAACAAGGCATTTTAATACTAGTAGGCTGGCTTGGGCTCACATTTATCTTTCCTGTCCTTAAATAATTTAATCATGTGCAGTCAAATTATTTTTCAAACAGGACTATATTAATGTGAACTAGAACCTTTTAGTTCGCGCCTGTAGCGCCCAGAGAGGAGAGTTTGCACTGGTATTCATATCCCATACTACGAACTGCAGGTCAGTGTAGACATAGTCCCAGTTTCCTAATAATGAAACATAGCTGAATTGGAGGCTCATTCCATTTAGCTTTAGCAATCTTTAGTATAATTAAAAACTTATAGTCAAAATAAGTTTGAGTAACTGAACTAATTGAGTAATGAGACTTTTTCAAATTTCAGTATTATCTATGTGGGTGTTTTAACACTTTTCAGTGTGCACAATCTGGTACAGAGATACTGTACCACTAATTCCTTGGTATCCTTTATATGACACATTTCTATCCAGACTCTGGAATTTTAATTAGGTCCCATGTGAGTGATTTCTAGTTTGAAAATGAAAAGCAATTAGTTCTTCTACTCTACTCAAGTCTGGGTGAAGCTTTTAAGAAGCTTCAGGGAGAAGGGGAATTTCTACTTTCCTTTAAAAATTTCCCAGTACTACTGCATCTGCTGTAGTTGAAGAAATTTTAATAAGAGAAGCCTAAGTGTGTTGGTCTCACCCGGCAAAGATGATATAAACCTATTTATTCTGTGAGCAAAGGTATATTCTCCTGTTGCTCAAGGGTTAGAATTGCTACTATTGGATCTGAGACTCCTCACTCTTAGTCTCAAGTGGTGCTTTTACAAAGCGTGACTACTCATTAGCTAAATCAACACACTGTTACAAGAATGTTAATGATATAGGAATGAACCTTTACATGTCCTGGATATGCTCAAGGGAAAGGGAGTGTGGCTGAGTCATCCTTTCAGTTTAGCAATCCCAGAATGCCCTCGTTGGGCCACAGACAGCCACTGCTTCATTAAAGTTGCACCTCCCGTCCACAAACATGACATTCAACATGGAGGCTGAAGGGCCTGAAGACCTCAGAGACTGCAGTCACACTGCATGCTATGCATAACTCATGTATTTTGAGTCCTGTCCGCAAAGCTGGAAAGCAATAACAGCAGTGGCAATGGCCTGCCAAGCTGGGGATCATGAATTCTGAGAAGGTTCCAGGACTCCCACGTGGTTTAATACTAAGCTACACATCAAGTTTTTAGGCCAAATCTAAAATCAATTTCATATCCTCTCTGAATGTTATGAAGCAGTGTGCACAGGGATTGCTGTTCAGACGTTTTAAACCGTTACACTTTCTAATATTTCAGTTGATTTCCTAGATTTTTCAGCTTTCCTACGCTCTTGGTCCACCTGTTGATATGAATTCTCTACTAAACTAAAAGTTCTTGGCAACAAATCTTTTTCAGAGGTCAAAGTCTCTTCAAAAAGTTAATTTTAATTGATGTGCATTAATTAAACCTAAAAATTAAAATAAAATTAGCATATGTCTCATATGAGTAAGAAGAATGGACAATCCTCTAATAATCCACTATAATAAGAGAACAAATGAATTAATGTATATAGTTTTGCATTTATATATTCTACTGCACATAGAAATGTACTCAATCTAGTAAGCATTTTTCATCTCAAATTTTATTTCATGTGCACACCACTTAAATATTATGCCTCTATCAATAAACTGAAGGATAAATAACTTATAAACCCTGTTTTTGTTTTAAAAACTGGTCCCAGCATTAGAATTTTAGAGTAATTTACATTTTAATGTTAACAAAACTTAAGCTTTGGTTTGGTTAGGTATGCAATACCCTCAATTAATGTCAGCTCTATTGTTAAAAACATTGGCTCTGTTTACCAGTACTACGTATCAGAAAAGATCACATTTACATGTGTATTTTGGATTAATATCTTTGATACCACTGAAGAACTTTTGCTCATAATTAAATTTCTAAGCATTTGGAAAAAAGACTTTCCATTTTCCAATTTCTATTTATTTTTAAAAGAATAAAATGTGCAATACTTTAGATATATCGATAGTTGAGTGATTGGCACTCCACCTACCTAAAACCTCCTGCCACCTGACTTCCCTTGCCCCTTTTTATTACACTCTCAAGCATGCAATTAAAAAAAACCCTTATCCCAACCTACCTCTCCAACCATTGTCCAATCTCCCTCCCCCCTGCACGTCTATGCTTCATGAACACGTCTCTAATTCTTCCCTTAAAACTCCATTTTAAGAACATAAGAACGGCCATACTGGGTCAGACAAAGGGTCCATCTAGCTCAGTATCCTGTCTTCCGACAGCAGCCAATGCCAGGTGCCCCAGAGGGTATGAACAGAACAGATAATCATCAAGTGATCCGTCTCCTGTTGCCCATTCCCAGCTTCTGGCAAACAGAGTCTAGGGACACCATCCCTGCCCTCCTGGCTAATAGCCATTGATGGACCTATCCTCTGTGAATTTATCTAGTTCTTTTTTAAGTTTGTTCTACAGTTTTTGTACAGCTGTTTTGGTTAGATATGTGATTTTTTTTTACTGAAGTAGTTATGCAACGCTTAGTGTAAATGCTGTTTATTACTGTTTATTACAGTTTATTACTGGCATAAAGGCACCGTATGTTGATATAGCTTATTTCCCTTCCCATATAAGCACCTTTATAGCAGTACAACTGTTCCACACTAGAGAGTTGTACCACTTTAACTAAACTGGTATATGCTTGATGTTGCTGGCATTGTAAGTTTCATTGTTTTAGGTCAGCATCAATCCTGCTTGGTATCACCCTCAACCAAGACAAAGAAGGTTCATGTTCCTTGTTAATATAGGAGAATGGCTTGTAGAAGCATATATAAAGAGAAGAATCTTTGATGTCCATTATCTCACCATGCCCATCAAAGTAGAACTCTCATTCCTTGGCTACTATTGAAAACCAGCCACCATGGGAGCACCTAGCAAACTCAACAGTGGATGCAGCCACATATGCCTGAATGCACAAATGCACCACAAAACCAATTCTATACCTGCTACACACAGATGATATTTGCATCCTCTGGACAGACGATTTAAGTCCCTCGTAGACTTCCACCACAACTTCAACAATCATCACCCGTCCATTAAATGTTCTCTGGAACACTCCCACACCAGCATCAAATTCATGGACAATATGATCGGCTTCAACAATGGAACCCTACAGACAACAATATACAAGAAACCTATGGATCACCACGTCTACCTTCAGTAACCACCCCAAACACACCAAGAAATCTGTTATCTACGTTCAGGCACTCAGATACCATAGAATATGCTCTGAGGAGAAAGTCCAGGTTATACACCTTAAGACATTTGAAACTGCCTTCACCACAAGACAAGGACACTCCACCAGAGAAGATGATTGCATCATGAAACAGACCACCCAATGCCCCGGGAGAACCTGCTTCAATACAGAAATAAAATCATAGAATCATAGAAGATTAGGGTTGGAAGAGACCTCAGGAGGTCATCTAGTCCAATCCCCTACTCAAAGCAGGACCAATCCCCAACTAAATCATCCCAGCCAGAGCTTTGTCAAACCGGGCCATAAAAACCTCTAAGGATGGAGATTCCACCACCTCCCTAGGTAACCCATTCCAGTGCTTCACCACTCTCCTAGTGAAATAGTGTTTCCTAATATCCAACCTAGACCTCCCCCACTGCAACTTGAGACCATTGCTTCTTGTTCTGTCATCTGCCACCACTGAGAACAGCCGAGCTCCATCCTCTTTGGAACCCCCCCTTCAGGTAGTTGAAGTCTACTATCCAATCCCCCCTCACTCTTCTCTTCTGCAGTCTAAATAAGCCCAGTTCCCTCAGCCTCTCCTCGTAAGTCATGTGCCCCAGTCCCCTAATAATTTCCGTTGCCCTCCGCTGGACTCTCTCCAATTTGTCCACATCCTTTCTATTGTGGGGGACCCAAAACTGGACGCCTCACCAGTGTCGGATGAAGGGGAATAATCACTTCCCTCAATCTGCTGGCAATGCTCCTACTAATACAGCCCAATGTGCCATTGGCCTTCTTGGCAACAAGGGCACACTGCTGACTCCTATCCAGCTTCTTGTCCACTGTAATCCCCAGGTCCTTTTCTGCAGAACTGCTGCTTAGCCAGTCGGTCCCCAGCCTGTAGCAGTGCATGGGATTCTTCCTTCCTAAGTGCAGGACTCTGCACTTGTCCTTGTTGAATCTCATCAGATTTCTTTTGGCCCAATCCTCCAATTTGTCTAGGTCACTCTGGACCCTATCCCTACCCTCCAGCGTATCTACCTCTCCCCCAAGCCTAGTGTCATCTGCGAACTTGCTGAGGGTGCAATCCATCCCATCATCCAGATCATTAAGAAGATGTTGAACAAAACCAGCCCCAGGACTGACTTCTGGGACACTCCGCTTGATACTGGCTGCCCAACTAGACATCGAGTGCAATCTGCACCAATGCATCTCACAGTGGGAGGACAGAAGTACTTCCTTAAAAATCCTCCTTAATCTTGAGTAGAATGTAATCAGCTTCATTTCTAATTATCGTTTCTCATTGTGAAATATTGGGTTAACTCATACAGAAGAATCATTAAAAAAATCCAAGAACAAATATATTGTATATAGTTGTTGCATTGTGTGCTACTTAGTTTTTGTTGGCAATTTAAACTGGAAAATCCACATCTTAACTTACATTCTAAAAAGTAAGGAAAAACATTAATTTCATGGTAGAGAGAAAAAATCAACTTTCCATTTTTTTTCACAGTCAAAAAAATATTTAACAAGCTATTGCTCAAGCTATTAAAAGGTTCAACGATCTTGGTTATTTGTAACTATAGATCTTAAATCAAAACTGTTCATGTAGCATGCCAACTCACTCATCAAATATTGTGACAAGAAAGTTATTTGTTATGAATGTAACACAAATGTAAATGTTCCCCACTTTCTCAAACAGGCAGCAGTCCTTTGGACAGTCCCAGGAATTTCTCTCCCAACGCACCTGCTCATTTTTCCTTTGTTCCTGCCCGTAGGTAAGTTAGCACATTTTGTTTCTTATGACTGGCATGTGAAAGCCACCTGAGTGTACTGCGTATTTTCTACTTTGGAAAGTAGTTACCATTTAGAGGTTTTTAGGTTCTGTTTCATATTCAGATTAGACTGTGATTTTAGAGTCTAGAAATGTCTTCAACATTCCTGTGTTTTCTCTACAGGTACTGACAACATTCCTGTGTTTTCTCCTGTTGTCACTCCATTGTTCTTATTTATTGTTTTTTATTTAGATTGCAGTTGCACATTTTGGGTGCTACTGCAAGGTGCTCTCCAAACATGGGAGATGATTCAGAGTCTCTGCATGAGGGACATGCAGTCTAAAAAAGTCAGAGACAGAAGGGTTGGGATAAAACAAGGTGATAAGGGTGATGATAGACACACAGTTTATTAGTCACATTTCCATGGCACTCTTTCAGGTCCCACTTCCTAATCAGTAGATGAAGTGTGTTTTAAGGGATCCTGAACGTCTCCTTTTTAAAGAAACTTATTTGTTCATGCAGCCAATCAAATTCTACATATTTGTTCATCAATTCTTGATCTCTTTGCTACCCATGACATTTGAATCTCTTTTTTTGATTATAGTAGTTTAGAATGAAATACTCAGAATTTACCAAATAGATAAATGTCTGCACCATAAGACTGGTTGCAACCTGTCTTTTTCTCTGTCTGTTCCCAGTCTTTGATCATTACAAGAAAACAGTGGCCATTAGCAATATTGCTATAGAAAGGAGAAACAGTTAATAGGTTACATTTAGTATTAATTTAACATTTGCAAAAGGAAAGCGTAGTGTTTCACTAGCATAATACAGAGGGATTGAAATGTGGAGAGGGCAGTTGCCTTGTTGACAAGTTTAGGAAGGGTGTTCCTATGTAGTTGGTGGTGTGGGGAGCCTCACATAACAGCTGCTAGTCACATCATGTAACGTACTTTTGGAAGGAGCTCAGATTCCATGGTGATGGGTGTAGTGTAAGAAACACTAGAAGAGAAGGTGTGAAGACAATTGTGAATGAAACAGATAAATGGGGTATTGAATTTGGCATCCTTAGCAGAATAGAGGGCACAGGATGGGAGTGAGGGAGGCATAACACAAAGAGAGAGAAATTGGATAAGTAGCAAGGAGCAGATAAATGTTGGGCCTTGAAATCAAGGAGAAGACTGAACCTGATGTGGTGTATGTGGGGGAGGGATTCTAAGAGGGTAGTAAGATCAGATTCATGTACGAGGAAGGTGATCCCAGTGGCTGCATTTTGCTTGGACTGAAATAAACCATCTGAGGCCTGGTCTACACTAGGCTTTTATGTCGAATTTAGCGCCGTTATATCGAATTAACCCTGCACCCGTCCACACCACGAAGCCATTTAGTTCGACATAGAGCCCTCCTTAAATCGATTTCTGTAATCCTCCACAACGAGAGGAGTAGCGCTAAATTCGAAATGGCCATATCGAATTAGGCTAGGTGTGGATGGAAATCGACGGTAATAGCTCCGGGAGCTATCCCACAGTGCACCACTCTGTTGACGCTCTGGACAGCAGTCCGAGCTCGGATGCTCTGACCAGCCACACCCCGGGAAAATTTGAATTCCTTTTCCTGTCTGGGCAGTTTGAAGCGCAGTTTCTGTTTGGACACCGTGGCGAGCTCAGCAGCAGTGGCAGCAGTGGCAACGATGCAGAGCTCTCCAGCAGAGATGGCCGTGCAATCCAATAGAAAGAGGGCCCCAGCATGGACGGATCGGGAAGTCTTGGATCTCATCGCTGTGTGGGGAGATGAGTCCGTGCTTTCCGAGCTGCGCTCCAAAAGACGGAATGCAAAGACCTATGAGAAGATCTCTAAAGCCATGGCAGAGAGAGGCTACAGCCGGGATGCAACGCAGTGCCGCGTGAAAATCAAGGAGCTGAGACAAGGCTACCAGAAGACCAAAGAGGCAAACGGACGCTCCGGATCCCAGCCTCACACATCCCGTTTCTACGAGGCACTGCATTCCATCCTAGGTGCGGCCGCCACCACTACCCCACCCCTGACCGTGGACTCTGAGGATGGGATATTGTCCGCGGCCGGTTCCTCAGCGGACGGGGAAGAGGAGGAAGGAGATGAGGAGGACGAGGCAGTAGACAGCGCTTACAACGCTGATTTGCCCGACAGCCAGGAGCTCTTCATCACCCTGACAGAGATCCCCTACCAACCCTCCCCAGCCGTTACCCCAGACACAGATTCAGGGGACGGATCAAGCAGTAAGTGTTTTAAATATCTAAACATTTATTTACAACATAACTGGCGTATTTAAAATATTAACATTAGCTAAAGTGCTTTAAAACATGTAAACATTTATTTGCAACAAAACAGGAAGATTGAAAATATTAACAGTGGGTAAAGTGCTTAAAAACATGTAAACAGGAAAGTCAAACAAAAGGGGAATCAGTGCAAAGTGTATCATGATTACTCCGTCTTTGGGCGCCTCAATATATAGTCCGAACCATTTTAAAAAAATCTCACAATGTCCGCTTCATGATTATAGTGCCCAAAACCCTGCAGTCATTTGTCCCTCCAAGGGCACCTAAGCCAAGAACTGGTCAATGTAACCGGGGATCGAGGCGACATCCTCCGGGGAGAACTCCTCATACACCTCCTGCAGGTGTTTTTCAAGCCTCATCAGCAGGTTCCTGGGCAGGGACAGCTTATTAGGCCCCCCGTGGTAGGACACGTTTCCCTGCCACAACGCCAGCAGGTACTCCGGGATCATGGCCTTGCACAGCAGTGCAGCAAATGGCCCCGGTTTCTGCAGGCTGTCCCGGAGCATCTTCTCCTTCTGGCTCTCGGAGACCTTCAGGAGGGTGATGTCAGGCATGACTCCCTGCTGTGAATTAGGTAGGGGAAAGTTAGTATTGGGACTGCTTGCCCGTCCCTTTACAGAACTGCAACCGCCGGTTTACAGCCACGCGGTTTACAGCCGCGAGGGGCTGGGACAGGGCCAGAGTTCATGCTTGCAGGATTGCTGCCAGCAGAGACTCGCATTGCTTTCTATGTGAAAGGAGGCCAGTGCCACTCTTAAAGTTTTAAGCGGCCACAAGTCTACGGCTTACCATGTTTGCCATCTAGACAAAGTCCGGTGTCCTGCCCTGCTCCTCAGCTCGCCACAGCAAGACCGCAGGCACTGTAGGCGAGGGCCGAAAATTCGACCTTGTCCTCAGTGCGCGTGTGATAGGTGCTCTGCATGGTCTTGTTCACAGAGAAAGACTATGTTCTCTGTTCACAGATACATTGATCTGTCTCAGGAATTCACTCCCTTTTTCCAATTCCCACAGCCACATCTGCCCAGAGGCTAGCGCACATTAGGAGGAGGAAGAAGAGGACACGGGAAGACATGTTTGCTGAGCTAATGGGATGCTCCCGAGCACAGGCAGCCCAGCAGACACAGTGGAGGGAGAACTTGTCCCAAATGCACCGGGCAAACATGGAACGGGAGGAGAGGTGGCGACAGGAGGACAGGCAGGCTACTCAAACGCTGCTTGGACTAATGAGGGAGCAAACGGACACGCTCCGCCGCCTTGTGGATGTTCTGCAGGACCGGAGGCAGGAGGAGAGAGCCCCGCTGCAGTCTCTCTGTAACTGCCCTGCCCCGCCACCAAGTCCCATACCCCCCTCACCCAAAGTCCAAACACGGAGGGGTGGAAGGGGCCGGGAAAAATTTCACTCCACCCCTGCGGACTGCTCTACCACTAGAAGGCTCTCATTCCCCAAAATTTGAAAAGTCCTTTCCTACCCGCCTCACACAAGACCCCGTCCAAGTTTCACCCCCCCCGTTCCATGTGCGGTTGTTAATAAAGAATACGTTTCTGTTCATTTCTGTTTCCATCCTCTTCTTTTGGAGGGGAGTCTGTCTGGAGGGGGGGGAAGGGCCTTGGTCATTGGACAGGACAGTCACCTTTAGCAGGGGGCAGGTGCAGCAGCAGGGCACATATACAGTGCAGTGACTAGTTATCCTGGTCAGTCTGGGAGGTGGTTTTCATGTTCTGTGTGGTGGGGGCGGTGGTGTTGCTCTGTGACTTGGTGGCGGGGGAGGGCAGTTACAGATCTTATGCAGCGGTCCTTACCCTGGATCACAGAGCCGCGCAGCAGGGGATCTGTAACCCTCCTCCCCCTGCAAGACAGTCACATAGCCGACACATACACGCAGTCCCGGCCAGGAGGGCTGGCAGGCTCCGTTGAAACAACCAGTCCACCATCGCGGAGCCTGTCATTCCTGGAGTTTAGAAGCATCATTTGCATCACAACCCTAAACCCGCTCCCCGCCACAGTCTGCGTCCCAGGTTTAAAACATTCCCGTGAAAACAGTAATAAAGACAACGGTGTCCATGAACAAAACAGAACAGATTTTATTTTTTGGGAAGGGGGTGAAGGGGGTATGTAATTGGAGAGGATAGTCGACGGCAACTGGGTAAAGAAACGGGGGCAAGTTCAGCTTCTGTGTCCACAAACTTAAAAGTCAATGGGTACCCTGCTCAGCCTTGAAACTGGCTTTCAAAGCCTCCCGGATGCACAGCGCGTCCCGCTGGGCTCTTCTAATCGCCCGGCTGTCTGGCTGGGCGTAATCAGCAGCCAGGCTATTTGCCTCAACCTCCCACCCCGCCATAAAGGTCTCCCCCTTGCTCTCACACAGATTGTGGAGCACACAGCAAGCTGCAATAACGATGGGGATATTGGTTTCGCTGAGATCACAGCGAGTGAGTAAGCTTCTCCATCTCCCCTTGAGACGGCCAAAAGCACACTCCACCACCATTCTGCACTTGCTCAGCCGGTAGTTGAACAGTTCTTTTTCTGTGTCCAGGGCGCCAGTATAGGGCTTCATGAGCCAGGGCATTAGCGGGTAGGCTGGGTCCCCGAGGATCACTGTAGGCATCTCCACATCCCCAACAGTTATCTTGTGGTCCGGGAAGTAAATACCTTCCTGCAGCCGTCTAAACAGACCAGAGTTCCTGAACACG